TCATTTTCCCAAAGATGCTCCTCCCCTTTCACGTAACAATCATTCATTCATTCATTTCTTTCGATTTTAATCTCATAGAAGCTGAATTTTATTTTCCAATATGCAGCTGGAGCTTGTGGTTATGACTCTTTAGCTCTTGACATTAGTTTCAGAAAACTCGCAGCGGGCGCTGCTTTACTTTTCAACAATGGAGCTGGTTGCGGTGCTTGCTTTCAGGTTTCCGACAAGTTCCTTGCTGAATTGAAGGAAGATGTTATTGTCATAAATATTATGTTAATTTGTATGAAATTATTGATGCAGGTAAGATGCAAGAACCCAGATTTATGCACAAAAGCAGGGACAAGAGTGACATTAACAGATCTTAATCCCAGCAATGAAACTGATTTTGTTCTAAGCAGTAGAGCTTTAACCGCCATGGCTCTTAAGGAAAAGAGAAAAGAAATTTTGAAACATGACATTCTTGACATTGAATATAAGAGGTAATTAACACCATTAATGACATTCATGATCATACTGAAACAAAGACTGATTCATGTCACATGGATTTGAATGGTGCAGAGTACCTTGCGAGTTCGCAGACCAGAAGTTGGCTGTTCGTGTTGAAGAATCAAGCAAAAAACCAGATTCTTTAGTAATTAAAATTTTGTATCAAGGTGGCCAAACAGAGATAGTAGGCGTTAACGTAGCTCAGGTATATATAATGGTTCATGTATGCTAAAAAATTCATCAAAAAATAATAATTAACCATTGGTTTATTTTTGCTATTAGATTGGATCTTCAGAGTGGGAATATATGACAAGACACCATGGTGCAGTGTGGGAGACAAGTAAGGTTCCAAAAGGGGCATTACAGTTAATGTTTGTGGTTACAGCAGGGTCTGATCAAAAACAGATAGTGGCAACGAAGGTTCTACCAGCTAATTGGAAAAAGGGAAAGATTTATGATTCTGATATTCAGATTACAGAAATTGCACAAGAGGAATGTCCAATATGTGCTGATGAAAAATGGGAATGATTTAGGATATGTTAATCATTACTCATGTGCTCAATTAATTTACCTACATAACATATACATACTCATTTTTGTATTATAGGATTAGAAATCAACTTATGTAATACCCAGAAATTATATATATATATATATATATATATATATATATATATATATATATATATATATATATATATATATATATATATATATATATATATATATATATATATATATATATATATATATATATATATATATATATATATATATATATATATATATATATATATATATATATATATATGGAGTAGTTTTATATAATTAAAATGTCTTGTCTCATTTCTAATTATTCAATTTCAATTCATTATTAAAGTTAAAATAAGAGGCGAAGAAAAAATTGTCTCTGTCTTTCTGTCCAAATTTTTACCTTTGATGTATTTGAGACAAAGGTACAAAGATTCATCTGCTTATAGTAATGATAAACTAAATTAAAAATAAGTTAATTATTGAATTTGTTGGTTGTGAGTTAATATTTACTCGAATCGTACCTTGTTGGCAGTTTTAGTTGGTCTCAAACAAAGCATAATGTAGTTATCGTGCGGTATTTTTGATGATTTTTTAGGTTATCAAAATAATTTGAAACACAACTCCAAGCCTAATTTCATTGATTTCAGTTTCGATCACATATGAGATTTTACAATAATTTTATTCTTTCATGATGCCAATGTTAATAAATGAAAGAATCTTTATTGAAGTTACAAAGTCATACATATAGCTGCTAAAACTCAAACAAAAGGGTAGGTATAAGACTTATCAAATGAATCTTTTTGTTATAAATGATTTGAGTAATCTGCCACTACCTGATCTTGGCTATGTTAATACACTTTTGAATGACATGTGCTTATATGGTTTATCTTTCTCCATTTATCATTTCTATTCTTTCTTAATGAAAGAGACTATTAATTAAAGGGGTGTTTTATCAAGCTTTAATTAAAAATGGTTAAATGTATCCTAAGACTAGAAATTTTCATTTTAGCTGCGATTTTAGCCTCGGCCACCGACGCCGAAGCTAACTAGGCTTGACAAAACCCACAAACGCAAAAAAACTCATTTTAAAGTTACCTTTTACAATTATTTTTATTTAATTCATTAGACATGGCTAATCCGAGACTAAATATTTTTTAATTTTTGAATTATTTTTTTTAAATATTAGACACGGAGGAGACGAGGCTAACTATTTTTATTTTTTTTCAAATATATTTATTTTATTTGGTAGACAGGGATGAACTGAGGCTAATCATTCATAATTATTTTTATTATAAAATAGACACAGATTTACTGAGGCTAAATATTTATTAAAAAAATTACAATATGCCTAAAGAAGATTTGAACACAAGACATGCTGAATGCTAAACAATACTTTAACCAACTCAACTATCAATTTCAATTGAAAATTTTATTCGTAAATTTTATTTATTTATTAATTTGTTTCAATAATATCTCAAAATTCATTTTCCCACTCTTATTTTTCCTGTTTCCCTCTTAATTCCTTTATCCCCTTTCTCTCTATTATACAAAATATTCAGAATAAAGAATCCTAAAATTAAACCAAATAGATTTTCAGAAGTAAAAAACCCCTAAAATCAAACAAAATCGATTTTGTATGGTCGTTGAGAAATCATCTCTTCGTTTTCATCTTCAAGATCATCGATTCCCATCTGCAAGATCATCTCTTCGTTTTCATCTCTTCACATGATAGTTGATAGATAGGGTGAATCAAATCGATTTTGTTTGTTTCATGTTCATCAGGTACTTTTTCCCCTTTCCCTTATCCTTTTCCCACTGTTTTTCATGTCTTCGTCTTGATATAACTTTATTGAAGGCTCGCTGGGAATTTCAAATACAAAACGCTATCACACAGCTGCAATTGCGGTACATGACTATTATTATGAATCATATTAAGCTTATATAGACAGATTATGCTTCATGTTTTTTAATTGTCATTCTATTGATGTTCAACAATATATTGGTCTGTTTTAATGGAGTATTGAATAGTGTGTAATTTCTTCTGCATTGTTTTTTGTTGTTGGTTCTGTTGTTTTGCTATCATTTTTAAAAGTGAATATTAAGCATGGTTGCCTACCTTGGCCTAGCAAAACATGGACATAATCTACCAACTACCAAATAACATGATTTCACCACCTCCCTGACTTCTAACTTAAACTAGCAATGTTGGTTTCCTGGTCATCTTAAAATCCAACTACCTCCACCAGAAAATTTAAAGCACACAAAGTCACAACAGAAAAAACAGAAAAAGACCCATAAGATCCATCAAAATTTAAAAGTAAACCTTGTAGTTTTACCTTGGTTTAACTATGCAATACACAAAAGTATAAAAAGAACGTTGATATAAATTTGAAATAGAAATTGCAAATATGTCTTTTCCATCATTATACATGTATTATACTAATAAGCCATGTGAATATAGAGACCTAGGACACACAGTCACAAATCAATACATGGTACATAATAAAAATACTACTTCAAACAGTTAAACTGACTCATCAAATAATTTAATATTGTTTATTTATTTGATGCAAACATTTAGAAGGAAAGAAAGTTTTTTATTCCAAACAAACATGTAAATGTCTAGAAACCTACATATAACACAATATCATGTTATAAACATAGTCATAATTATAAGAATGTTAATTAGAAACATTTAAAGATAACACAAAGCACAACACAAGTATCACTTGGCATTGCATCAACAAAAAAATAAAGTATCACTTAGCATTGATGTGAGGCAACACAAGTATCACTTAGCATTGATGTGAGACAATACAAGTATTACTTAGCTCTAAAAGGCAATATGTAACAATTTTAAACCATAGAGCCAAAATCCTGTCATACCGGATGCTGTGTTGTTATAACAAATTATGGAGGAAAAACCCGTAATATCGACCGATATTTACCATAGCGGCGAGCCTAAAAACCGCCACGTATATCCGCCATAGCACTGTAATTGCGGATATTTGGTAAGACTGACCAGAGAGAACACCAGAGAATGAGAAACATTAGGACAACAAGATATTACAGAAGAGACAAAAGAAATCCCCTATCCTATTGTGTGCATCCATACCAATTAATAATGCATTACTTGGTTAGGTTTTGTTTTCTCCTTTCTTTCATAGCAAAACTGAATATTAAGCAAGATAAAAAAAATTAAGCATGGTTGAAACTGAATATTAAAAGTGATTTAAGATTGTGCTTTCTTAGTTAATGATTTTAAACTTCATGTTTGCCTACCTTGGAGATATATTTGTGATTTATTTCCAAATTATATATTAAGAGTTATATAAGAATTTCAAACATGTTAGGCTAGTGAACTTTCCTTCTTAACACTAGTATCCAGATAATTAAATTTGGAAGCTTTTATAAACATTTTTCCAGGAACTAATTTCTATATATCCCTTGTATCTAGGAACTGATTTCAACATTCAAAATCGTCATTGAAGTAGATAATTGTCATTGAGGTATGATATCCTTAAAACTTAATTCTCATGGAGTTATTAGAATAGTTAATTGTAATTTGGAAGTTTTAATAAAAATGTTGTCGATCATATCGTCATTGAGATAGGAGCTCAAATTTTGTAATTAATATACTTGATATCTTTTAAAAAGGAATTATGAATACCAGATACTTGTTTTCTCTTTCTCTTATTATTATTTTATATTCTGCATTGTTTGTGACCTAGGTCTTTACTATGATTCTATCTAAGGTTGTTTTAGTCAATTTTTATAAATTGGAACAACAATGTATTGTTCCCACTCCCTTTTTAATTAATGTCATTATAGTTGTAGGATCAACAATGTACTAGTATTTATTTTGAGTACAGTTAAGTTCAAAAATTTGAACAACACTAAACATATTGGTTCCTCTAAATTTAGACAAGATATGTTTTAATGTTTAGTGACTCACATGTTAATTGTTTGCTATATAGAAAATGGATCGTACTTGGATGTATAATAGAGCATATTCCGATAGACACGGATTGAAAGAAGAGTTTGTTCGTGGGGTTAAAAAGTTTGTGAAGAAGGCTTTGAATCAACCCATTTGTAAATCCGAGGGAGGGATAATGTGTCCGTGCATAAATTGCAAGTGTTGTAAGATAAGTACAACAACTAATGTAAGACTTCACTTATATCGAGATGGATTTCAACCAGACTATTGGATTTGGACTCAACATGGAGAAGTGGAGCTCAATATTGATATAAGGGGTGGCTCAAATAGTAGTGAACATGTGCGTCAAGCTGACCAGTTTGAGGCAATGGATCAAATGGTGTATGACGCATTTAGGCCTCATGGAGGTTTCTCTCATACGAATGATAACATGGAACAAGAGGAACTTTTGGAGGATGAGTTTCCCAACGAATAAGCTAAACAGTTTTATGACAAGTTGATATCTTTCAACAAGCCAATCTATGAGGGAACTACTCAGTCTATGTTATCAATATCTACTCAACTTCTTGAAATTAGGTCTAACTGGCATGTTTCACAAAAAGGTTTAGATTTTGTTGCACAAATGCTTAAAAGTGTATGTCCAGTTCAAAAATGTTTGCCTAAGAACTATTACCAAGCATCACAATTGGTGTCTAAGTTAGGGCTAAAGGTTAAGAAGATTGATTGTTGTAAGAATGTTTGCATGTTATACTACAAGGATGGTAGTAAGTTGTCTGAGTGCAAATTTTGTAATGCTCCTAGGTTCATTCCTCGCAAGACTGGCATGGGAAATTACAAAGACATCCCAATGAAGAGAATGTTTTATTTTCCAATCATTCCTAGATTACAAAGACTATATGCATCAAATGAGTCGGCAACTGAAATGAGATGGCATCAAATGAACAAAAATAGTTCCAACGTCCTTCGTCATCCGTCTGATGGAAAAGTGTGGAAACATTTTGATGATGTATATCCTGACTTTGCTAGGGAACCCAAAAATGTAAGATTGGGTTTGTGTTCAGATGGATTTACTCCTTACATTCAAGCATCTGCTTCTCCATACTCATGTTCGCTAATAATAGTTACTCCATACAATCTTCCCCCTGAAATGTGCATGACCAAACCATACTTGTTTCTTGCTTGTCTCATACCTGGACCTCACAATCCTAAATTGAAGATAGATGTCTACTTGCAACCATTGATTGATGATCTATCTCTATTATGGTCCAATGGAGTTTTGACATATGATATATCCACAAAACAAAACTTCATCATGAAAGCCTGCTTGATGTGGACAATTAATGATTTTCCGGCCTACGGTATGTTATCTGGATGGGGAACACAAGGTAAGCCGGCATGCCCTCATTGTATGGAACACATGGATGCTTTTACCTTGAAAAGTGGCCTTAAGAATTCCTGGTTTGACTGTCATCGTCGTTTCTTGCCAACTAATCACTCTTTCAGAAGGAGTAAAAGAAGTTTCATAAAAAATAGGGTTGTGAAAGACGACCCACCTCCTGTTTCCATAGGTCAAGATATATGGGAAGTAATAAGTAATTTTCCAAAAGTGACTGAAATTGGATGGGAAGAAAAATGGGAAGAGTTTGAAGGGTATGGAGTTGATCATAATTGGAAAAAGCGAAGTATTTTTTGGGATCTCCCATATTGGAAGGATACCTTGTTAAGGCATAACCTCGATGTGATGCATATAGAAAGAAATGTCTTTGATAATATATTTAACACTGTCATGAATGTTAAGGATAAAACAAAGGATAACGAAAAGGCGAGAGAAGACTTGGCTAAATTATGCTTTCGTGGGGACTTAGAGCTCCAACCCTTAACTAACGGAAAGAGGGGTAAACCAAAGGCAAGCTACACTCTGACCAAACCTGAAGTCAAGTTGGTTTATAAATGGCTGAAGGAATTGAAAATGCCAGATGGCTATGCTTCAAACCTTTCTAGGTGTGCCAATGTCGAAAAGGGTACGTGTCATACCCTAAATTTGTCCTACCTTTGTATAGCCCCCCGTTCTGTATATTTACCCACTAACTATACTCAGAAAATCCCAAAAAATATGTCATTTATTTTTAGTTTGGTTCATCAAGCCAAGGATGAGTTCAATTTTGATTGAAGGATAGTCAGGTTCGATCTAATGTTGGTCAAACTAGTCATGTGTAGTTAAGGCTAAGAGCATTGATTCAGTTGGAGTATAGATTAAGTCATCAGACAATGGTTGAATTATTAATACTTCATAGTTGATAGTAATTTAGATCTTGACCATTATTTAATCGGGGTGTTATGTAATGCTTTAGAGTCCATATCTTAATTCATAAATTCTCCAATTTTAAGGCATGAGTCTTGATCAGGAAGATTATGGTGAAAGTTTTGGTTGGACTTGGTATAAGAGGCAAGAAGTTCAAGTCATATTTCGCAAATGGCTTTAAGGTTTTAAATTCTAAATTTCAAGTTTGGTTCATGATTATTTCTCAAGGGACCAATTCAGGATGTTATGCAAATCCAAGAGTGGCTTCGAGTGTGAAATGTGGAGTTCATATGAAATTTGAGTTTTAGTCATCTTTGTCCGTAATCGAAGAATCCAAAGACTTTTTTAAAAAAAAATCCAATGCTCGAAGCCTAAATATTTGTCAAAATCCACTCAAAATTTGAAAAAGGCATGTATAAAAAAAAGAGAATATTAAAAGCCTTTGTCCATTTCATTACTAATCATGGAAATTACATTTGAAACAAAATATAGGAAATATCCCCAACAGCATTCCGCCTCCAGCCACAGTATTTCAAAATGGCAGTGCAGAATTATTGATAGCTACCACTGTCCATTCTGTTCAACATGGCCACACGCGAAGATTCGTACGATCCCTTGCAGAAAGCCAATAACCACTCAAAAAAGAAATGGTTTGCAAAACCAACATTCATACACCAACAAAACCATCAGCTCGACAACCTGTAATTCGCGGTTAGTTCGTACACGCCTCCAGTTGATGTACGGACACAAAAAAACAAACCATAACCCGCGCACCCCAATTGCAAGGGTACCCGCATAATTTGTACGACATCCCAAACGCAGCAATATCACCATTGTCTCTTCAATTAGCCCAAAAACAAATCAAAAGTCTGTTATTAAAACTTCAAGAAGGAAAGCTAAAGTTACAACTTGCTTATTACGGTTCTTGCGGCCACTTCATGTGTTGAAGCCCTACCACCCTCCTGCACATTCTGCCAAAATCAAGAACACTACAAAACCTCTACACACACAGCTTTACTTACATTTCAAAACACACAATATCATACCAAGACAAAACCAAAATTTCCTGCAAATAGAGATTGACCCCACGCTTAAGTCACTTCAATAAACCCACACAATCTAAACAACAGCTTCTTGGGACTACCCCTGCATTTTGGCAATATTCACAAAAAAGAGACCTGCAACATTTACACAGGAAAAGCAAAACAAGCACAAAAAACTGCTAATTGAAAAAGACAAAAAGGACAATCTACAGCATACAACAGAATGGTATCAACACAGCAACCTTCACAAAGGTATACCTCAATGTTCATAAAAGTAGCAATAAAAAGCCACGCGGAAAGCTTATGTACAAGGTACACCATCAGACCTGCACAAAAAGGACAGCTTTCTGCAACATTGAGAGTGAGGTTACATCAAAAAAATAACAAAGCTTACACAGTGAAAAAGGGTTGGAAATCAGAAAGCAAAAGGAGAGGGTTTTCAAAAGGACCACACCTCAAAACCTCGAGAGGGCTGATCTCAGAAGGGAGGGAGATTTCCCTCGACTCTCTTCTTCTTCCTCGAAAAAAATCATTTTAAAGAAAAACAATCAATCTACCGTAAAGAGCATCAACAGATAAAGCCAAGTAGACTCATCTCCTTCTTCAATCAAAACCTCACACCATCTCCTTTAGCCTTCTTCCAGAACCTTCTTCAACCAAAACCATAACTCGATCCATTCTCAGAACCGTCTATTTTCCTTCACCATCCTTGATAACCACTTCAACCTCATAATCCCCAAAATCTGAACTTGCATAAATCACAAACCTCCTCCTTCTATTAATCCCTCGCCACATCATTCCAATCGTCCCTTTTTCCTTCCTCTTCAAAACTCACCTCCGACTAGACTCCACCATTAACGAAACCTTCGAACCCGTAAACCCCTCCGACCTCCATCTTTTCTGAAACTCAAACTCCAAACCTCACCGTGACTCGTTTGATACCATCACAAATCTTCAACCAACTCACAACCACAAATATTTTTTCCAGACAATCATAACAATCCCTAAAGTCAAAGGAAAGATGATACGGTTATAAGATTAGGAGAATCGAAATCAAAAGCCACAAAGTCAAAACCGAAATGAACCTGTTGAAGGTAATTTATTCTGTCGCCGATAAACACTTCTTGATTCGTGGCCGCCGCAATGAAGGAACGTCCTCCTGAGCTCATCAGAGCCTTTTTTTGCTTCACGAGTTGTTGTTTTTTTACGGGATCCACCTCTTCTCGTATGTTGGGTCACTTGTTGTTGCTGGTCTTGTTTATCCCTTTTGAATTGATTTTTGAAGGAAGTAGTTCTAGGTTTTCCTTTGTGTGCTGTTGGATTATGCTGAACCGTGAGGTCAAGGGTGCTCACACAAATTGGGCTTCTCTTGAGGCCCATGGAGTTTTCTTTTGCACCCCCCATTCCTGTTTGGGATAGCAATGTTTTGAGGGGATGGGTTTTTAAGCCCAGATGACCCTCGTGACTCACACACCCCTGATTGTTCGTTCCCCCTCCCCTATTTTCATTGATTTTATTTTTTTATAAATTTTTTTTTATATATTATAATTGTTATTATATTGTGTTTTTAAACTTTATTTTATATATTATATTTATTACATATGTAGATATTATATTAGCTTTATATATTTTATTTATAATTTACATATTAAGCTCTTTTAAGGACTTTATGTATATATTATATTTAGAAGTTTTGTATATTTAGATTTTTATTGCAATTTATATTTTTATTGCAATTTATATTTAGAAATTTATAGTTTTTTTTAGAGTTAATTTTTATGTTCTCATTTCTTATTGGACATTTTGTTCCACTTTTTGGTCGATGAAGAAGTTTCCATCGTTTAGCCGTCAAAATATTGACGTGAGACAAAGGATCTGAGACCACCTTCTTTCTCCGATTTTATTTCAATTTTTGGATTGATGAAGTCTTTTATTCGTAAGCATCGCGTATCGAAGTTGATAACCTTCGCGATTTCAAATCTATGGGGAATGACCATTGGGGTCATTTTCCGTACTTTGGGATCGTGATAGGCTACCTTTGATTAATCGGCATTATGTTTGCGATTAAGACGAGATCTTATTCTTTCGTGTCCCGATTCGATTCACTAAACTAACCAATGCTTTAATTTTCGTTAAATATTATTGTGAATATTATTGTCATATTATTATTCATATTATCATATCTCATTATTCTCACTCACCCATATTTGAAAACACTTAATAAATTATCGAAATTCCTAAAAGCCAAATTGGTGGACTGTTGGATCTTTGGTCATTTGCAGGTATCCTAACTTCGAGTCGTGCCCGACTTTGCTCAAGGCGTAGTTTAGGACACAATGCACACACACGGCTTTCTCTTGGGCTACCTGACAATGAGACCCCTTTATTTTGTGCAATCCCGTGTAATTTACATGTACCCCTTTCCCATTCCGATGTATGTTTCGCATTTCTTTGATTATTAGTTTATCTCCTAGGAGCACCCATAGGGACTAGAGCGGATTCAAGCTATTTTCAAACTAATTCTCGATTCATCATCGAGCCATTTTCAAACCCTTGTAAGTCGAGTGCTCATACGCATTCGCCATCAACCTATTACAACTCGACCCTTGATGCGTAAGTCAAGTCGGTCTCTTCTTTCAAACCATTTCATTTCCAACACGTTTTGCACGCGATAATGAGTCAAACCCTTGATCCAACGTCAATTGGATTTTCGAAACAAATTATCAATCAATTAACAATTATTTAACGCTTTTTCAAGGTGTGAAGAGTGGGTTCAAGTCTTTGAGCTTGCTTTCGATTGTTTGAATGCGAGTTATCTTATTCGTGTGTGAGCAATTGACGCTTTTAAATAATATTAACAAACTCGATAATACTCAACCATCTCCAATTACTCATCCTTTCACTCACCTTTCAAACAACTTCTTTTACGATGAAAAAGAGAGTGTCCCAAGTCTTTGGTTCGCTCTCCCGACTACTTGGATCCGAGAAGGCTTTCTCAAGCTTCAAGTAGTCGTCATCCGTTTAACCTCAATAACTCAAACAACTTTCTTTTCACGATGAAAAAGAGAGGGTTCCAAGTCTTTGGTTCGCTCTCCCGATTACTTGGGTCTGAGAAGTCTTTCTTAAGCTTCAAGTAGTCGTCATCCGTACCCACTTCAAATCCAATTCAAACCCGTTTCTTTCGTGGTCGTATCCACGAACTACGGACGCTCTGATTCTTCATTCATTCTTGAATGTAAGATACGTAGGCACAAGATTGCGATGATCTTGGCGAGCACAATCCCCTCCATCTTCCATTTTTCCCCATCCTTTCCCGTAGTCGAACTACGACGCTCTGATTTCTCATTCTCGTCCGAATGAGCATACGTAGGCACAAGGGCCCCAATCCTTGGCGAGCACCCTATCCTCTAACCATCCCCCTTCCCCTAGCGTCTTTAGCCTTTATAGTATCCTTTAGTATTTAGTAGCGAGAAGAGAAAAACTAAGTTTAGCTAACATCCATTAACTCGAATTAAGAGGTTCCCGTCGAGTACCACGGACGTGAGGGGTGTTAATACCTTCCCCTCGCGTAACCGACTCCCGAACCCAGGAATATGGTTGCGACGGCCGTGTTCCTTCCGTGTTTATGAGGTTTTCTCGATATTTTCCTCTCCCGTTCATTCGGGAAAAATAAAGTTCGGTGGCGACTCTGTCGAACCGCATTTCCGCGCCTTTCGCGCGAGGGTCGTATGTTCGAAATGAATTTTTCGAGGTGCGACAGGTGGCGACTCTGCTGGGGACTATTGCTCCATGCAAAAGAGAGTCGAGCCTATCTTAGTTTGAGTT